CAGGGCAGGTCAAGGGGGAGGGACGAAGGCCAGAGCAGAACCTCAGCACAGAGTCCCAAATGCCTTTCTTCACTCGAACGGGCCAAGCAAGCGTTCCTTGAAATACTGCTAATGTAAGGGCATGGACGTACAACATGCCTCCCTGTGCCACGCCCTTGGAAGCCAGCTTCATAGCCCCCTGAGAGACTATGTGAGACATCCTCTTAGCCAGGAGTCCTCCCCCTCCCCCTCCCCCTCCCCCAAGAGGCAGGTCTCAGCCATCAGAGGCTTTTTAAGGGCACATGTTGGGTTTCGGGCTCAGTCCCCAGTAGGGGGCGTGCAGGAGGCAGCTGATCAATGATTCTCTCTCATCATTGATGTTTCTCTCTCTCCCTCTCCCTTCCTCTCTGAAATCAATAAAAATATATTTTAAAAAAAAGAAAGAAGGAAGAGAGGAAAAGGGAATGGGGTGCTGGTTGCCTATAACTTCCTGGGGGCTCTTGACCATGAGGCTATTCCTGCCTTTTGGGGGGGACCACCTGCTGCCCAGGAACATGTGGATCTAGAGAGGAGGGACCTGCAGGGTCCTCCCCTTTCTTCCTCTCCTGCCCCTTTAAGGGGAGCGAAGTGGATGGGAAAGAGCATGGGCTGTGGGTGGAATGGACCGAGACGGGGCTGCACCTGACCTTCTAGCTTTCTGGCCCCACCCCCATTTCCTCGTGCAGAAAGTGGGGGGCACCTACCCCCCTGCAGTGTGGACTGAGGGTTCAGTGCAATGGTCTAGTGAGGTGCCTGCTCAGGCCCCCACCAGGACTCACTTAGGTGCACCAAGTCCATTGCTTCCCTCAGGCCATTTCCATGATTGAGAACTTGCATTTTATCCCGACCAGCAAGGCTCAATGGTTGAGCATTGACCTATGAACCAGGAGGTCACAGTTTGATTCCCGGTCAGGGCACATGCCCAGGTTGCGGACTCGATCCCCAGTGTGGGGTGGGCAGGAGGCAGCAGATCAATGATTATCTCTCACCGTTGATGTTTCTCTCTTCCTCTCCCTCTCCCTTCCTCTCTAAAATAAATAAAAATATATTATTTTTAAAGAAAAGAGCTTGAGTTTTGGAGTCAGAAAGATGGTGAGGTTAGTCCCTGCTTCTTCTACCAGCTGGGCAGCCCCAGGCAAATGATTATTTCTGAACTTGTTTTATACTATTCCTATTCTTTATTTCCACGTTTGGAAAATGGAAATACCAATGATTCCACCTTCCTAGGGCTGTGGTGGGGATTAAATGAAATAATACATTGGCTGGTGAGGCCAGGGCTCCACCCAGATACTATGGCTGTGACTCAGGGTGATTCCACCCGGGGACTTCACGCGTTCACCCCTCCGTAAAGGGTAACAGATGGACCCCTTCCATTGCTTGCATACTGGATTGAATTGGCCTATAGTTTTATCCGTGTTTCTGTTGACAGCGGTTACTGTGCGGAGAGAGGTGTTGGAAAAGGGCCGCTCAGACCAAAGCGATCTTTACAGCAGGCCGTGGAGCTTCCGTGTGAGCAGAGGGAGGTGGTTTTGGGTGGAGACAAGTATCGTAAGGAAATGAAACGGGACGGTGCAGGGGAGCCGGGGAGCCGAGGAGGTGGCATTCGAGCTGGTGTCTGGATGCGTGTCAGATTGGGAACATTTAGAAAATGAATATTTAATTCCGAGGAAGTGCATTCTCGTAAGTGTTGGTGCAAGTGTAAATAGATGTGACAGTTTAGCAGAACGTTTGGCAACATAAGACGCACATGCCCGTTGCATGAGCAGTGCCATTTCGTAGAATCTTTTTTACAAAAGTGCTCACATACCTAAGAACCCGTCCGTTGGAGAGTCATTGGGGAAATATACTGAACCTTTGAGAAGAACAAAGGAGTTCTCTTCCTTTACACTAACACGGGAGATGTGCCTGGTATATGGAGAGCGTTATGGAAGAGAAACGGTAGTCATAGCGTGTCTGTGCAACAGCCAAGGTCTGAAAGGCTCACACAGGTAGCTAAGGGGGACCACCTCGCGAAGGGGCAACAAGATGGTTGGGCGACAAGGGAGAGGATTGCTTCTTGACCCATTTCTGCATTTGTTTAAATGTTGCAATGAGCATCTTTGGTGATTTTTTTTAAAAGTTATGCAATGATGCATTCTCAAATTGAGAATTCTTACAATACAATTTTGCAAACCCACAGAAGGTAGGACAAAAAGTAAAGATCCTCCTCCCCATTACCCAATGAGACTTGACATTTGGAATAAGGGGGGTTGGGGGGATGAGTCCAGCCAAGTTAATTCAGTAGAAAATGTGGATAACCAAGATGGTGAGAGTGTAGCTTTGGGGAGAAGGGGACCCCGCTGTGTTGCTCAGGTCCTTTGCCCTTTGCTGTTTTTTGACGCTGAGGAAGCCATGGGCCTCGTCTGGGGTCCAGTTCGGTTTTCCCCATTCTGCAGGTAGGGCTGGCCTACTTCCATCGGAAGAAAGGGCTGGAGAGAAGGAATGCCGAGGAAGGCCCTGCCTGACCGGGAAGTGGTCTTGTCAGAATGCCCAGGGATGGACGTCGGAGCCCAGCTCGCCAAGGGCCACTGTTAAAGAGGAGCACTCTTTGTAGAAGCTGGACTCTGATGTAGGGACCACGGTGAGGAGGGTGGGCATGAAACAGATCAACCACGAAAGACCATGAGTTCTGGTAGAGGAGGGTGTGTGTGTGTGTATGCGCGCGCGCGTGTGTGTGTAAGGCTTAACATTTATAAAGCAATAAAGGAGAACATTTTACTACTTTTAATATAGCATAACAAACAGAATACTGAGGTACTAGGGGGGAAGTCAAAGTAACTTGGAGCCATTCGGTTTAGGAAACACTAGTTAAGAGAGGCTTGCAGAGGGTAGGAGAAGCGTGCACGCCTGTGTGAGTGTGCGTGCGCTGGGGGAGGAGGGGTGGGGCGGTGGTCATAGAGACGGGGCACCGGGTAGCTATGTTATTAAGTTCAAAGAGAAATTCCAAAGGGAAAATAAAAGCCCCGTTTGACTCAGACGTGGTTCGTTTTTGAGGCGATGTCAAGAGGCACGAGATCAAATCCAGCTCGACACGATCCAATCCAGAGCCCAGCTCAGCCTGGCTAATGCGACGTCTCCATCCTCTGCCAATGCCGGGGGGGGCCCTTCGCTTCCCCTTTGGCAAACAGGAGACAGAAGGAGCTCAGCACAGAGCGGGGGCTGAAAGGTCACCCAGAACATTCATTTTGCAAGCTCCCCACCAGGCCTTTCCAGGAGACAGACGAGCCCGGTTTCACAGTTTTGCTAGAATGCAAGCCCCTGGCTGCGCACTTCAACCTGGGGTGAGTTTTAATGAAAGCTGCAGGGTACGCACACGCTGCCCAGCCACTGGCTGCAAGGAGGAGGAGGAGACGGGCCGAGCAGAGCTGAGCCGTGTCCACTCCTTTATCCTCTGGGCCTGAAAGGAGTGATTGAAAACTTCAGGCAAAACTAGAAGTAAGATTCAGAGCTCCCCACGTAAACAGTGTGGTCTGTTAGGAAGTTCATTTCACCAGTGAGACGCACTATGAAACTCAGGAACGCTGCTGTCCAGTGGACACCAGTGCGTTTCCGGGGGTTAGCCTGTAGGACCTTCAAGTGGAAGTGAGGCCGTCTCCATTGTGTCCTTCCTACTTCATTAGATGTTCCTGGAACCTGTCCCCGGGGCCAGTCATCAGCGTGCATGCGTGGGTTATCACAATGGCCTGGGAGCTGGTCTCCCACCCCAGCCTTGCCCCCTTCAGTCCATCCCTCACGCCACCTGAGTCTTCTCTCCAAAGCTCAGCTCTGCGCCCCCCTTCAGTGCTCAGAACCCTTCACTGACGTCAACTCGGGGCCTTTTATATCACCCCACTGCCCACCTTCCTGCTCCTAGTTTGCTGACACCTCGTCCCTCCACCTGTGCTCTGATTCAGTGCTGCAGCCACCAAGCCTGCTGTGGTTCCTCAGAAATGTAACCGTCTGTCTTGTGTTTATGCCCAGATTACCTTTTCGGGCTAATTATCTTTTGTCTCAAGATGCGGCTATGCCAGGCGTCATCTCTAGGAAACGTCCCCTAACCTCCCTGTTATGCACTGCTGCCCACACTCTGGACGCACGTGAGGTTGGCATCCATTCGGGCACCGTCACTGTGTCCTCACTGGCTAGTTATTGGTCTGGTTCCCTGATTTGCCTGGAAAACACCTTGAAGGTAACAGTCATGTATTTCTAGCCATTGTACCTATAGCACCTGGCATGGAGCTGGCCCATGGATGTGTTGCAGAAAAGAATGAACACAGGTGTTTGTTTGTTTTTTAATATATTTTTATTGATATCAGAGAGGAAGGAAGAGGGAGAGAGAGATAGAAACACTGATGATGAGAGAATCATTAGTTGCCTGCCTCCTGCAAGCCCTCTACTGGGGATCCAGCCCACAACCTGGGCATGTGCCCTGACAGGGAATCGAACCCTGACCTCCTGGTTCATAGGTCGACGGCCAACCCCTAAGCAATGCCGGCTGGGCTGAACACAGGTATTTTTTAATTTAGTTTGTGACCACGTGTTTGTGGGTCTTGGTTGTACACGATCTGAGTAAAGTCCTGCTCAGTGGTGCTCCCAGGAACACAGTGGGGATGAATAAGATGAACAGGGTTAGGGTCGGATATCAGTAACATGCAGACTTGTCACTCACCTTGAAGCATCACCAAGCTGTATCTACTGGGTCTCCCTAGGGCAGTAGTTCTCAACCTTCTGGCCCTTTAAATACAGTTCCTCATGTTGTGACCCAACCATAAAACTATTTTCGTTGCTACTTCATAACTGTAATGTTGCTACTGTTATGAATCGTAATGTAAATATCTGATATGCAGGATGGTCTTAGGCGACCCCTGTGAAAAGGTCGTTCGACCGCCAAGGGGGTCGCGACCCACAGGTTGAGAACCGCTGCCCTAGGGTGTTGATGAATTGAAACTCCCGTGTTGTTCCAGGTCAGCTGTTGCCGGCGAACCGCAATACACCGAGTCCCATCGATCCCGACACCATCCAGGTCCCGGTGGGTTATGAGCCGGACCCGGCAGACCTCGCCCTGTCCAGCATCCCTGGCCAGGAAATGTTTGACCCTCGCAAACGCAAGTTCTCCGAGGAAGAACTGAAGCCGCAGCCCATGATTAAGAAAGCTCGCAAAGTCTTCATCCCTGAGGATCTGAAGGTAAATTGGAACTGGTAACCAGGCCGTGGGCAGGTAGAGAGTGGGAGGCTTAAGAGGCGGATTAAAAGGGTGACCCCGGGAAGACCACACAAGCTGGTGAACAAAGGACTCTTGATTTCTGATCCTCTTTCTTGGCATGTGACTCTCAGCAAGTTGCTTCCTCGCTGGGTGTCTTCTGAAACATGCCTTTCATGTCTCTATAATGCACAGAAAGAAGGAGGAGCGATAAAATGTTGGAGATATTTGCAGCCCACGAAGGAGGCAGTCTGCAAGGAAACACATGAAAGGTCAATAAAATCAAACTATAACCTTTCAAGGTTGGAAAGAGAGAAAATCATTGGGGAAGGGCATCTTGGCCTCCCAGTCTTCCGAGGGAAATTCCCTGTGGGGATTGATTGATTGATAACTAATTGCTGTCCTTTCCTCGAAGGCCTCGGGGAACAACAGCTGGAAACGGGACCCCTCTCCACATGGCCAACCTCGGGTGACCAGGGCGGGATTTTGTTAAAGAAGCTGGTGGGTCCCCTGACACTATTTCTTTGTAATGTTCACTCTGGACCTCAAATAATGATCACTTGAATATCTCAACAAAAGGTTAATTCCAAGTTGGTTTTTCTCTGCTGTGTTGAAGGGGCACATTATTTATAAAGGAACATAGATTTATCTTGGTAAGTCAGATGCAACTTAAAATTATTCTGACACATTTAATGAACCTTAGGGAGGGAATTCTTTAAAATGTTGCATGTCCACTGGCATTAAATTAGAACCACTTTTGATTAGCTGTTGCTTAGACTTGTGTGTTTATGCTTCATTCCAAGCGTATGGACAATGAAGATATGATTATCTACATTCAAGGTATTGGCAGCAAGCGTAATTCATTAACCCTTTCCTAATGTCTGACCCCCATCTCTCGGGCCTCAGTATGGTTCCGATGGAGTGTGGCTCCTTGGCTGGGAAATGGGAGTTTGGGGCGTTGTCCTGGGACTGGCTTAGACTCCTTACCTCTACTTTTCCATCCAGAAGGAGCATTGGAGGGGAGGTGTCTGGCAGATTTGAATCACTGCCGTCGTCTCCGTTCCTGGAGGGATGCAGAATTGTCAGGGCTGAGCAGACCTCCGAGATTCCCTAGACCAAGTTACCCTTTTGTAGTTGAAGAAATGGAGAGGCAGAAAGTGAGATAGGCGAGCACTGCTCACTGCTAGGTAGAGCAGCGGTTCTCAACCCGTGGGTCGCGACCCCTTTGGCGGTCGAACAACCCTTTCACAGGGTCGCCTAAGACCATCCTGCATATCAGATATTTACATTACGATTCATAACAGTAGCAACATTACAGTTATGAGGTAGCAACAAAAATAATTTTATGGTTGGGTCACAACATGAGGAACTGTATTTAAAGGGCCAGAAGGTTGAGAACCACTGAGGTAGAGGAAGGCCTAGCCTGGTCCCCGAGTCTTCTAGCTTCCAAACAGGTCACTGTAGCACGTTGCCCTGACAGGGGCTCCTGGGGGACAGACCAGTAGCTGTCCCCCTGAGAATCAGAAGAGGAAAGTGCATAGTAAAACACCAGAACATCTAACCTGGCCAGGGAATGGCTGGTTAGCCTACGACGGCGTGTGAAGGGGCACCATCGGGTTAGGTCCTTGGGCGAGTAGGTATCTTCTTTGGACTGGATGGTTTCTCTCATCTTGTGCGCCTAGCCGTCTGGCTGTGTTTCAGAGCTCATCTCTTATACTAAACCCAGGAACCCGTGCGGCGTGGATTTCCTTTTGAATGGAAGGTAGTTTGAAAGGATGCTGCTGAGTAATAGACGTAGCTCCCAGCCAGACCTTCGTAGGGTCTCCAAATTTACAAGGTCAAAGCAGAGGGCAAGCCTACCTAACATCCCAGGTCACCTTGGCAACAGAGAGACCACGTGGAAACCTTCTGGGCTGGGATTCTGCATCTCACTGTTGTCAGAGCCAGGCCTGACCTTTTCCCGCGGCAGGTGGGAGCGGGCGGGGACATCCTCCTGCCGCGTGCCCTTGGATTTCTCCCGTTGGGAGGAAGCCTCGGGCCACGGACCATGCGCTCGTGGGAAGCGGGAAGCTCTGAGCTTGGGTGGGTGGCCCCAGCACTGGATGAGCAAACCTACTGAGTGAACCGGCCTTCCCCACCGCTGCCCGCTCTTCCTTCCTTGAGCTATGCGTTGGGTCGGCATGCGTCCCCCGGGAGGGTGAAGGGGTGGCACACGGGGACTCCCAGCTGAGACTCTGATCACTTTGATATCTTCGTACTTTGCAGCATCCATTCGTTCACTTGACACATATTTTTCACTTGAGACAGAGAAGTTGGCTGAGTGAACTGGTGACTCCCTGGGCCCTGTGATGCTAGTGTGTGCCAAGCCCTGTGTCAGGGGCTGGGGATTCGGAGGTGAACTGGTCCTGGCATTGTTTCTTACCCTCCAGGCACTCCTAGTCTGGTGAGAAGGGATGCTGGCCTGGTGGGGGGAGGAGGCATCAGGAAGATGATGGGAGAGGACTGAGGGCTCGGTCCTTGCTGGGTGGGGGTGACTGGGCAGCCAGGTGGCATCTGCCCCTGGGGGCGGAGGAGAAGGGGACAGGGGATGTGGTGCCAAATGTATCAGCCCCTCAGTCTCCTGCAATACAGAGGGCGGCAGCCTGGCTTCTCTCCGCCAGGACAGCCCTGCATCATCCCTGCTTTCTGCATCCTCCCTCCATTCCTGTCCCCATTCTTCGCCTTTCCTAACTCATCTCCAGGTGTGGACAGGGGAGGCTGAGGGTGTAACCGCCTCAGAGGTGAGAGCTCTAAGAGACGGAGAAGTTGGTTGAGTGAACTGGTGGCTCCCTGGGCCTTATGATGTGGTCACAAACCAAGTACATGGCCTACACCCCATCTGTCCCCCAACACACACAGCTTCTACAGTATCCCAGGGGGTGATTCTCACGTCCTTCCGCACCTCGTGGGCGCCTGTTGCCCTGGGTGCAGGTTCGGACACATCCTAAGTCAGCCCCTCTTTTGAATGACCTTGGAAACCACACTCCAAGGAGCATTGAGGAGGCTGGCAGACCTCCTGACACACCACCGGAAAGGGGGGTGCGGGGGGAAATTGGGGTTTACATCAAAGAAACACACACAACTTGGGGCTATACCAGAGGCTACACTTGGGCCCATTCAGCCCTGGGAAACCTTTCACTCCCCCAGCTCCTCCCAGCCTCTCTCATCCACTGGCGTGGCCCTCCGCTTCCTCCAGCCCCCTGCTCCCTTTCGGAAGCAAAATAACAAATCCCACCAACAGCCGTTGCACACCTGCCCAAGCTAACTCCTCTCTAAGGACAGTTCTGGTAGCAGCCAGTACGAAGGTCTTTTGTTTTCCCAGTTTGTTACATATCATCATGAAATATATAGAAAGCTGAGAGCGCTTTGTAAATAAAATTCCAGCCTGTGAAAGCCACAGAGGTGCCTGCACACGCTGTCCGTCTCACACCTTCTGTCCTTGATTAGGGCAGATGTCTGCTGAGGGTCAGGGGCAGGTATGGGGGCGGGCCACTGACCTTGGACCTGGCTTACAGCCTTGGCCCCAACCCATGTGACCTCGTCCAGTGCCAACTGCCCCTTGGAATCCTGGGGGAGGGTGAGAACTGGCCTCACCCACTTACTCTGGGTGGCCTGTAACTGCAGGTATTAGGCTTGCCAGGATCCAGAGTGATTTGCTCTTGCCAGTTGTTGAAAAAAGGGGCAGGGGGAGTGGCAAAATGCACCAGGTGGCACCATAGATCAGTTAGGAAGGTCTAAAAGAAGGCTTGCCAGGAATGTTAGTCTTCCCAGGAGTGTTTTCCTTTCTTCGGGCAGGAGGAGCCGGGAGTGGGGAGGGGGAAGAAGGGACCGCTTTCTTGTTGACCACAGTTAAACATTACTCAGGCTAATTAATGCGCAGAGACCCGTGAAACAGGAAATCAGAGTAAATGATTTAAATGCTAGCCACCACTGTGAGTATGTTGATGTGGTGGCAGGTAGAAGTTTGGTGGGTTTTTCTCAATTTCTGTTTTTAATTGCCAAAATGTGCATGCCCATTATGTCATATGCCAACAGTTCAGAAGGATATAAGCTAAAAAGTTAAAGATCCCACCTTTCTCCTTGGACCTCTCCCTCGAATCCTCCTCTGAAGGCATCACTTTTCACAGCTTGGCATCAATCACTCTGGGCCTCTTTGTACGGATACGTAATATTGTGATTTTTTTTTAACCAGAGTGGGATGAGGCCACACACATTTATCTACAGATTACTGTTGTTTCCACCCACATCATGGTATATCATGGACATCTTTCTGGTTTGACTGGATTATCATTTTTAATAGCTGCAGAGTATTCGCCATCATTATGTAGTTATCAAATCTCTTACCAATAATTAGGTTCCTCTCCCCACTCCTTTCCTGTTGCAAATGGTGCCGCAGTAAACATGGTGCCTGTGTCTTTGTGCACACGCATGAAGGTTGCTGCAGGAGGAGACGTTAGAGGTGGAGTAGCTGGATCAGTAGTACGTGCATTGAAGTAGTTGACAGATATTGCCCAGTTGCCTTCCAGCAATATTGTATCAACCCTAAATCCAAAAGCTTATGAGGCCCAGCCAGAGTGGCTCAGTGGTTGAGCCTTGACCTATGAGCCAGGAAGTCATGGTTAGATTCCTGGTTAGGGCACATGCCTGGGTTGTGGGCTCCATCCCAGTAGGGGGTGTGCAGGAGACAGCCCATCCATGATTCTCTCATCATAGATGTTTCTTTCTCTCTCTCTCTCTCTCTCTCTCTCTCTCTCTCTCCCTCCCTCCTCTTTCCCCTCTCCCTTCCTCTCTGAAATCAATAAAAACATATATTTTTTAAAAAGCATGAGAGTGCCCGTGGAAGAGAAGGGTTCGAAAAATAACAATTTCAGCAAAAAGAGTGGACCTCTCCTCCTGGGGCACATGCCCTGCTGGGCAGAGGGTAGGAGCGTGTGGTGACAGGCCGGTCCCTGCTCTGGGAAGGGAGCCATGGTCCACGGACTCCACTCAGGGTTGCTGAGACTGTCAAGGAAGGAGCCGCAGGTTAAGACTCCTGGGCTGGTGCCTGGGCGCAACCCCAAGGCCCGCCAGCGGCCCGGCGGGCCCTCAGCTCTGCCGAAATCTAATATCTTGTTTCCTTTTCCTTCTGCACCTACCGAGCAGGATGACAAGTACTGGGCAAGGCGCAGAAAGAACAACATGGCAGCCAAGCGCTCCCGCGACGCGCGGCGGCTGAAGGAGAACCAGATCGCCATCCGCGCATCCTTCCTGGAGAAGGAGAACTCGGCCCTGCGCCAGGAGGTGGCCGACTTGCGCAAGGAGCTGGGCAAGTGCAAGAACATTCTGGCCAAGTACGAGGCCAGGCACGGGCCCCTGTAGGACGGTATGGAGGGGGCTGGCTTTGGACTAGATGGAAACTGCGTCCCCGTATGACAGCACCACACCCCACCCGCCCCTCCCGACATCAGCACTTTACCGGAGGCATCAATCAACACAACTGACTCCCGCTGTGGCGTGTGCGCGCTGGGCGCACGGGCTTGAGCGCGCGTGTGGCCAGCGGTGTGCGTTCCTTTGCACTTGCCATTTCCAGAGAACCCTCTCATCCTCTTTTAGCTCCCCAAACAGAAAGGTGCCATGTTTTTACTGGACTGTGGAGACCTCTGGCGGGGTTTCCTGCCCCTCTCCTCCTCCCCACTCCTGCCCTTTCCACGCGGCTTTGTGGTCGCTCTTCCCTGCTCTGCCAGGACCCTGTGTTTGGATCCACCGAAAGGGCCCTGGGAGAACAGGAGCTCTCAGTTTTCAAGACCCGTCTGTAAGTTACCACGCCAACACGGTGCACAAAAGAACCCAGCACTACTCCGCGCCCTCTTCAGTTGTAGGTCGCTTTCCTCATCTTTTCGGTTTGGATGATCATCGTCTTCGCATTGAAAGTGCTGTTCAGATTAATTAGATCCCATATTTTCTTACCGTGCTATCTACTAAGTTTCCTTTTCATTCTGCCCACCCCAGATCCGTAAGAGTACTCTTATAGACCACAGAGTGTGTTTTTGCACTGTCTGTACCTAAAGCAATAATCCTATTGTACGCTAGAGCATGCTGCCTGAGTATTACTAGTGGACGTAGGATATTTTCCCTCCCTGAGAATTCCACCCTCTTTTAAAAAACAAAAATGATAGCAATGCATTTGAGCATGCCCAGAACATCCCCACCCAGGACAGGGAAGCAGAGGGAAATGGCAGGTCTGAGAAGGAAGGGCTACTTTATCAGCATAGGAGCAAAAAAATAGTGCATTTTGGGAATGGCTTTTGACATGGATATGTTTGGTTTTGTTCTCTCCCTTCTCCCGTAACCCTCCCCCCACACCCCACTTTTATAGTTAACTTTTTCCATAGCCCTCTTGATATTCCCAACAACTCAATTAAGATTCAGTTTCCCCCGTTTTTTGTAATATATATATTTTTGTGACTTATACCTGGCTGTTTTTAAACATCAGTTAAGTTAATGAGTTGGTGTTTTGTATGATCCCTTTTCCTAGCGGTGCCCTTTTCGAATGCTTCATAAATTAATGATTCTGGAGCTTATGGCTCTTATCCTGTTTGCTTTTGAACGTATGTGCTTTTATAAAGTGGACTTCTGAGAAATGAATGTAAAAGACACTGGTGTATCTCAGAAGGGGATGGTGTTGTCACAAACTGTGGGTAATCCAATCAGTTTAACTGTTTACTATAGACCCAAAGGAGAGATGATGAAATTGTCTAATGTTTATACAGAGTAATTATAGGAAGTTCTTTTTTTGTACAGTATTTTTCAGATATAAATACTGACCATGTATTTTGGAAGACATATATTATATAGAGCAAAGAGAAAAGGATAACTAGTCCATGTTTTGAAATTATATAGCAAAGATATATATATTCGTCAACGTTGTACAGAGAAGAAGGGCTTGGGGGTTTTGATGTCTTTAATATTTTAAGCCTATCACTGACACATCAGCATGTTTTCTGCTTGGAAATTTCACGACAGTATCGAGGCTCGCTGTGCTGAATCCTGCTCTAACATATAGAAGGAGATTTCTTGTTCCCTAGTAGGTCTCAGAAAGAAGTCAGTGAACGTCACCCAAAAGCACAAAATGGATGTTAGTCAAATATTTATTGGATGCTACCGTGTTTTTTAGGGAAAGCATCTGCCACAAAAATGTTCACTTCAAAACGATGACTTCCTGGAATGGCGTATCACTGCAAACACCCCACACAGTTCAGTCCTTCCCGTGGGCACGCGCGTCTTAGGCGGTTGACGGTCGATATCGGTGCTATGTGTGACTTACGACTTGATGGATGTTCTGACTTTAAAGATTGTTCTTCCGTTTTGCTCAGTTGTGTCATGTCAAGAGATTCTGCTGTTATTACAAAGAAACACTTTGTGCTGGATTAAAACACCCTTTCCTCCGTGAGATTTCCTAGTTTCCTGCGTCTAGAGTACCTGATTCTTTAGTGACCTGGTGGGCTCCTGGTCAGCCCGCCAGCAGTTGTCTCGTGGTGTTAGTCTTGAGAAACCCGACTGGGCGGGTATTCCCACCAGGTATTCATTCGGTCCCAGGCGACAGAGGACAGTGGGAGATGGAGGAGAGTTGGAGCTGAAATGCATTGCTCAGGTGAATCACTAATGACAGAAACAAGCAAGACCTTGGGCAGTCTCAGGCAGATCTGAAGAAGCGATATTCAGTAAGAGACACAAGTGAGCCAGGATTGGCCTTTTTATTGGAAAAGAGGCTAGTTGCCATAATTGTTAAATGGCACTCTTCACTAAAGCAGAGACAAATGATATATGTAAGTGGTGACATGTTGAAGGGAGCGTACCCTGGACCACCCAATTCACTGATGTATAAAATGGTAGCCCCCCCCCCAAAAAAAAAAACAACAAAAACTGCATTTGAGTACTGGTCTTTCTTGGAATTAGATTGTTTGTATCAAATGAGCATCACAAATGTTTTCTGCAGAAGAAATAAAATGATCATAATAAAACGTACTCTTTCACCTGCCAGGAAAGGTTTCAGAAGCCTACCTCATCTTAAACAATTTTAAACTTTGGAGTCTGCACAGGTGCCTTATATGTAGGTCATTGCCACGGCACACACATGAGCACTCGCTCCTGGACTCACTGCCTTCCGTCCAGGCCCGTTAACTGGTGAGGCAGTTCTGCTAAATGCGTGGGAGGCCATGGCCCGGGGTGGCATGACTCGGGTCCACCGGAGTCAGATGAGTTCTGCAGACTGCAGCTATTCTAACAGTCCTGCTGTCATTTCCCCCCTTTCCTCATAAGCCTCTTTCAGAGATCAGTTACTTGGCCATTAACAATGAAGCCCAGTCGTGGTGTGCCAACATCCTTTAGACACGATTTGGAATGAGTGGTCCAGGGCTTCCTGGTGAGGTCCCATCGCCGTTTCTTCGGCCCAGACTTGCAGAGAAAGGCCGGAATTGCTCATCCTGTCCTGCCCATGCTACCTGTGGCGGCAGGTGGGGGATGGGAGGGCTGTAAGTGGCCATCTCCTTCTCTTGAGGAAGTGGCTGCCTTGCCCCTGCAGGTGTGGAGAGCACCTGCAACACCGTCGCTTAGAGCAGAAGGCCCTTTGTTGGAGGAGAGTGCAGAAGCGATTCTGGCGTGGGCTGGGCAGGACGCTGTACTAGGTATCCCAGAGCTTCCTTTCAGCTCGCTGGTCTTGTGAGGGAGCTCAAAATAATTCTGCATGTGCATTGACAAGGTCTTGGGTCTATTTTTGTTTTGTTTTTTAAGCCTGTTTTTTTATGTATTTTTATTGATTTCAGAGAGGAAGGGAGAGGGAGAGAGAGAGAGAAACATCAATGATGAGAGAGAATCATTGATCGGCTGCCTCCTGCACACCCCACACTGGGGATGGAGCCCACAACCCGAGCATGTGCCCTGACCGGGAATCCAACCGTGACCTTCTAGTTTGTAAGTCGACTGAACCCCACCTGCTGGCAATAATACCATTTTTAAAAAAATGAGCACAGCCTTAGCCTCGATCTTGATGAATTGAACTTGGCACGAAAGTCAGTACATTTCACAGAGGGCCAAATGTATATAAGGGTGTGTGTGTGTGTGTGTGTGTGTGTGTGTGTGTGTGTAACTATTTAAGTCAAGACATAAAAATCTTTAATTTTGGAGCACCTTACCAAACATCACAATAATCTACCATTATCTTTTTGGCAACACCACAAAGATTGCATCAGCTAAACAGGTAAAAGTTCACAGGAGGTCGATTTAATTGTGTACCATGATATGGGCCGTGTTTATGCTGTTCGACGCAAACCTTTATCTGTCTGTTATCCTTAATGTTTAATAAACTTTGAATTTTTTTCCTTTCTTTCATGTATTTTTGTTGACAATCTGCTAGGAATTACATTCTGTTCCCAACTCTATCGCCAAGAGAACATTTACAGAGATTAGTTACATAGATGATAAAATACTACTACATCATTAGCGAGACATAAACATTTCTTGCATATTTATGTGCCAGACCCGATGCTAAACACTCCCATGGAATATTCAGCCCTATGAGGTAGGGACGGCCGTTATTCCCATTTGACAGAAGACAAAATAGAAGGTTCGGGGAAGTAAAGAGCAGACCAAACATTACGCATGTAGGAGTGACAGAGAGGACTTCTCATCCGTTGAATGGGTAGTATTTAGAGCAGGGGTGGGGAATCTATTTTCTTCCAAGCGCCTATTTGGATATTTATAACATCATTCGTGGGCCATACAAAATTATCACCTTAAACATCAGCCTGCTACATTTGGTCAAACATTTAATTAACTCACCTCTAATGCTTTGGCAGGGCCAGACCCAGTGATTTCCCATGGCCCGCGGGCTGGACGTTCCCCACCCCTGATTTAGAGCCACGGTTTCAAATTCCCGCCCAACGTCTGTTTTCTGGGTGGATATACAAGAATCATTGGGGAACATACCACAGGGTATAGAGCCAGAGATGCTGACTCGGTAGAACTGGGGTGGAGCCAGGAAGTAATTCTTTAAAGGCCCAGCTAACTCCGACATGTGGCCACGAACCCGAAGCCAAGGATTTATAGGCTCAGCCTTAATTCGAGTTCATGACCCTTGGTGGAACCCACGTATAAGCTCCAGAAAGTCCATCATTTCCTGAAAGTGAACGCTGTTTTCGTGTATAACTGAACTTATTTTTTCTTGTCGAGTCCCTCTCCTCCCCTCCCCCTTCCCGCCCCCGACCCCCTTCAGGAGTCTGGGATGCAAGATGGAATGAAACCCCGGATCTATATAGGAAGGCTGATGTCAGAGCTGTTCCAGCCCAGGCAGCCTAGCAGCCACCTGGGGACTGCCCTGCGTGGGCTGCAGTCCCGGCCAAGGAACTCGGCATCTCTGGCACGAGACCGGGACTCTGCGGTGAGGAGCTCGAGGACTCAGATCTGTCACTTAGCAGGTATGTGACCTTGAACTGCTACTACACATTTTGGAAGCTAAATCTCCTGTGAAATGTCTGTGAAATGCCGTTCTCACTGCCACCCTTGAGGGCTGTGGGGAGGAATAATGACAGAACCAATGTGCAGGTGCCTGCTCGTCCCAGGCCCGCAATCAACAACCTTGGAGGGAGCCCAGAAAGGAGAATGTGCCCGGAGCACTTTTTCCAGTTCAATGTTTCAGACCATTTGTTCCTTCAAAGAGGACGGAAAACAGGTCTCTTGCTAAGGAGAAGGAGCAGGTGGCTGGTGGGGTGGGGAGGGAAGTTGGGGGCAATCAGGTTGGCAGGGGAGGGCAGTTGGGAGCAATCAGGCTGGCAGGGGAGCGGTTAGGGGGCGATCAGGCTGGCCTCAGGTGAATCACTAATGACAGAAACAAGCAAGACCTTGGGCAGTCTCAGGCAGATCTGAAGAAGCGATATTCAGTAAGAGACACAAGTGAGCCAGGATTGGCCTTTTTATTGGAAAAGAGGCTAGTTGCCATAATTGTTAAATGGCACTCTTCACTAAAGCAGAGACAAATGATATATGTAAGTGGTGACATGTTGAAGGGAGCGTACCCTGGACCACCCAATTCACTGATGTATAAAATGGTAGCCCCCCCCCCAAAAAAAAAAACAACAAAAACTGCATTTGAGTACTGGTCTTTCTTGGAATTAGATTGTTTGTATCAAATGAGCATCACAAATGTTTTCTGCAGAAGAAATAAAATGATCATAATAAAACGTACTCTTTCACCTGCCAGGAAAGGTTTCAGAAGCCTACCTCATCTTA